CTAAATCATGTTTTTCCCATATAAAGGTGTCTTCTGAAAGATTCATTCCTCTTCAGAACCCCAAGTTTTTCACTGTTACCAGATCCAGAGCAATCTGAAGTTTAACCAAGTCTTTAGTGTTTATAATGAAATGTATTTCTATTTGACTCAGCCATACTAATTATACGCTAGCCCCATATTTGCTTCATTTATATTTTGTCTTATTCTGATTGCACAGAGGAAATGCTAGTATTAGCCAAATTGAGCAGAGAACCAGTGTCAGCCTGGGACCATTCATGAACAACCAGCAGGGAAGGAAAAGATAGAAATCCGTTTATTACTTCTTATAACAGATTTTTAAGATGTGTGTGGGCATTTCTGACATTACCTGTTATGCTGGTTATATATACTAAACCACAACAACATTTAATACACTGAGAATTGCTTATATATCTTGTATTACTTAGGAGTGCTTGCTGTGCTTTATGTTTAAACCAGATAACACAGATTGTTTCCTCCTCCACAACTGTATAATAAATCTAAATTGTAAATCCCCATTTATTCTGACTGCCTTGACAAGACTCCTTTGAAATTATCATATATTTCATTTAAGAAATTTTTTAAATTTTCCCATGTCAAAAGGAATCTCCTGGGATGGAAAAAAAACAAAAACAAACATTCTCAAAATAAAGTAGTTAAAATTAAAATATTATAAAATAATAAGTGGAGCAGATTCAGAGCATGGTATTTTTTGTCTACAAATTGAGCATGAAGGTTTGTTGATTTGAGGGGAGAGGTATCTTTATTTTTTTCATCAATATAAATTGGACTAGTGGGAGAAATCTTTTGCTTGGGTTTTATAGCTTCTGTTGTAACCGAGGAATGAGGGTCCATTCAGTATTATGGCCTGTTTTCATTGCAGCAATACCAGTTCAACTGATGATGATGATTAAGTGGTTTAGCAGACAGACGACTAGAAGTTGGAAAGTCCATGTTCAACTAGGTTTTTTCTGGCATAGTCTATTGCTCCATCTCTCAGTTTCTCTAAAATTTACTGATATAACATAAGGAATAACATTCTGTATTTTGTCAGTTCAAACTTTACAATAAAACACCACAACAACCACAACACAAAGGGAAATGTTATTTAAAGTGTAATGCATCAGGTCATTAAGACAAAGTCCCCAGCTCCAGTTGAGATGTGGTATACACATCTGATATACCATCTGATATGAGATGTATGCCAGAGTCGCTAAAAAAAAAAAAAAAAAAAAAAAAAAAAAGAGAGAGAGAGAGAGGGAGGGAGAGAGACATGATTTTTAAAAAACTAGGTTAGACAATAAAATAGGCAAACAAAACTGTCAGGAAGTGTAAAAATACATTGACATGGGTCTTAAAATATGAGTCAAGCCTCCCAAGGTTGTGCTGGTGAATACACCATGGGTGTATTTCTTCCTTAGCCAGTGCTCTAAAATTGTTATCACAGAGACTGACCAGATACCCTGCAACACTTCTGTGTCTCTTTCGTGATTTGCAGAGCTCAAAGAACTGTTCAGAAATAGTAAAATTATAACCATTTTCTGTTTATAGATGGGGCAGCTGAAGGGCAAAGAGTGAACATTTATGTAACAAGCCACTAGCAGAGTTCGGTATTAGTCTTTAACCATTAGACCACTAAAATTCTTAGATAGAATGTTCATATGATTTCTCCAAAGGCAGGAGAAATGTATTACCATATGAAATAGAATATGTAGTACCATATGTGAAAACGTAAGGAAGCCAAGCTTCATTAATTTTATTACTCATAAACTACTCATGGAAAAAGGAATCCACAAAGGAGAAGCAGGCATAGTAGACTTTTTTTTTTATTGTTCACACTGACAAAGAGCAGGATGACTAGTGGTAAACATCATTTATTTTCCTTTAAAGTATTTGCTCAATTCATCCAAGCCTCTTACAACCTTGAAAATGGATAGTGCATTACAAAATGTCCTAAGAATAATTATAGGAAATCTAGAACAGAAAATTGACCATGTCTATATAAATATCTTAATGTCTACACAGGAATATCCACCTCCCACTGTTCTTACTTCCATGTTGCCAGGAACCAGCAAAACTGATGGCACTGCTAATATTTCTTTCCATATCACATTTTTCATCTGATACTTTGTAAAATGTGATACATCTGAACTGATACTTTGTGTTTCACTCTAACCATATTCAAAAACAAAACGAAAAACAGCAGCACCTGGTCTGTTATTTCCCCATGATTTTAAACATGCACAGGAACAAAGAATTTGTTGTCTCTCATATACTGTAAGTTTGTTTTATTTAAGTGGTGTACATGAGAGTCTAGCTATCCTCTCTAACCACTGCACCTGATGAAATGCATCCTGATTTAAACAGATAATATGGGTTGGAACAAACTAAGGTTGGTACATCAAGAACATACTTGATGCTTCATGAAACTGAATGGGAGATTGCATACTGTCTGAAAGAAGCAGAAATGAAACAAACAGAAAAAGAATGGCTCCCAGTGATCAAATTGAAAGAAAATTTGATATTTGCTAAATGATAGAAGAGACCAGCAACATAGACTTTATTTTCTACTGATTTTTCTACTCAGAAAGTAACCAGCAGCACTAGTCCTTACCATTAAGGATAACATTGTTTGTTTGTTGCTTTTCTTTCCATCATAATAATCAAAATTTCACTAAAAATAAATTGTTTTTTTTTTAAATAAAAGTTCTGGGACACTAAAGCATTCTGACTGAATGGAACTAAATGATGTCCTCTTAGTTGCTCCAGTTTTTGAAGTAATTAATGAAGCCTTTCCATTACTTCAAAGGAAGTCAGATTTAACTCTTGCAGACCGTTTAGGTGGGGGTTGGCACTAAAATACCCTAAAACACATAGAAAAGAACAGTCACTTCTGTTTGTACCAAACACATGCCATAGAAACAACTCAGTGATGGCAATTTATAGCACGCTAAGTAAAGCTGAGGAAGAAAATGAAAATTGTTTTCATAGGAAGTGAAACTAAATTATGTATTTGGTTCTGGTTTGGTAAATTTAATTTAATTACACTTTTTTTTTTTTTAATATTATATGTCAGAATAGTCCATTAACTCATTGGCCAACATTCCACTGCAAGGACTGCATTACAAAACCAATTTTGATTTAGACTTTTAAACACTAAATCAGCTGTTACCACACAGCAGATATAGTTTCCACATAACTCTTAATTTGAGCTCAAGCTTCAAGTTTAGTCACTCATTGTATGATTCAAGGCTGTCCTAATTGCTGCCCCAGGACAAAAAAAAATAAAAAAAAAGAAAATTTACCTCAAAATACATCACCAATCATACTGAACTACTATTACCTTATTAATAAGAATTAAATACTGCCTACAACTGATGCAGAGAATGTATCTCACCAAGAATGCTATTTCTAAATAACTAAGAATAAGAGAACTCTTTGGTCAAGAAGGAAAACATTATTTCAAAGTTGTCTGGATCTGTGAAATACAGGTTTGGATCGAGGTCAACAGCATAGGAAGAATGAAATCTCAAGCTTATTAAAATAACAATATTTTGCACCCTCTTCATGTCTTTCAGTATATTTAAAATGGTAAGCTAAATTTGCAGTGCAAGAGCTTGTAGTAAATTCTCTCTGAGCTGTACCTATTGGTTGCCTTACTAAGGTTTTGTTGGTTTGTTTTTGGTGTTTGTTGTTGCTTTTTGTTAAGTCTCTCCCTCCATAAAGGTTGCAACCTTGCAACACTACCCCACCAGAACTTCATCTTGAAGACCCTTGAAGAATTACCGTGCATTACTCTATTAGTTCTACTGCAAAGGAGGATCTTAAATGGAAGGACAGGTGGGAGGAGTGGAGCAAAAATAAAATTCATAAAATTACCATATTCTGAATAATTAATATTTTTTTTCTGTTAGCTGATGGACTCCTAAGATTCTTCCATGAAGAATGGAAGATTCTTCCCTCTTCAATTATTTTACAGTTCTATATCTAAAAGTAAAATCCCTACAAACTGATCTATGTTGGTAACACAAGAGTAAAGCACAAAGACTATGAGGACCAGATACAATATCATCTTTAAAATGCTTCAGTTGACTTTTATGGATTTTAGATTTTACTATTTCATTTTATTGCACAGCAACAAGGACTAAGATACAGAACGTAATACATGCAAAGGAAGAATCCTTTCAGAAAAGGCTGAGTATATCCTTTAGCACCATTTCTGTATTGTCTTTAGAAGAGATTAGGAAAAAGAAAAGGCAGCACTATCTCATGGCACGGAAACTAATGATTCAATACCCATAAAGACACGCATGTTCAAATGCCCCTCCACACTCCTTAAGCTCCATTTAAAACGTTTGTAGAACCTACCTTAAGGAATGCAAGCACCCCTTAAAAGGGTCTCGTAGCCTGTAACTTAGGTTGGTCTCACACTGTAGGAGAGGGCACACTTTCTCGTACATCAGCCTTATCTTTCTAGGGCTGGTATTCAACCTTTATATATGTGGATATATAAACCGCTTCACTTCCCAAATAAGAGTACAACTAGGGCCTTCATTTGGCAACATGGATTTGGACCAATTTAATGTTTACAGAACCAACTGTTTGAGAAGTTTCATCACTAAGTACATTCCCAGAAAGAGTGGATATTTTTAACTATGCCTTATGCTAAAGCAGAAGTGAAGCTAAAACTCCTAACTGCCCCACTGCCTCCTGATATTTATTAGGCTAGCTGAATACAGTCAGGCCAAAGAACAGACAAATGCTTGGAGCCATTCTTTCAACATTTGTTAGCAATAGGTTTTCACGATGTTTGTTGTTTTTTTTTTTCAAATGATCTATCAACCAACAAAATATCTTAGCAGCAGCATTTTCCCAATGTACACGTAAGTAGGAGAAAAACACTTAAAGGATCACAAAGCAAAGAACAAGAAGTTCACAGAGACAAGAAGTCAGAAATCACAGTTCTACACAGAAATCCCTACCATTTGCTCTGCTGACTGATGGCGGCAATAACCATGGTCTCATCGCTCACAAAGCATCAGATCACATGCTCCTTGCATTCAGTCCCAGTGCTCAAATGCAAGATGTCAGACATGAGCAACTAGGAAAGAGAAAAGGGTTTTTTCATTTGTTTGTTTTTGTGTTTGTTTTTTTGTTTGTTTTGCTTTTTCACAAAATAGCATGTGCAGAGTGACAAAAGCTACTTTTTCTGGCAGAAAGCTCACATGCACGCTAATATTAAAGTTCATTAAAATACACTTTAAAAAAATTATGAAGAAAAATTCTCTGAAAAATCACTTCATAGTTCTGACTGAGAGCTTGCAAGAATCATCAGACAGGCAATCATTATGGGAAATAGCAGCCAAGCACACCAAAAAATGACATCGCAACCACCCATCCAAAAAGAACAACAGGAAACCAACGCTCCAGCTCTTGGTCTGTACTGGGAAACACTCAACAACTGAGCTGAAGCTTCAGCTCAGTAGTAGTTCATTTGGTACTTGTGGTTGAGTGGACAATATTCTTGAGCCTACTAAAATCATACAGGTTTCTAGCCCCAGTTTGACTTGGAGGTTCTTTAGAAAAGGTTTGAATGTTTCAAATATATTTATTATCAATCAATGGGACAGAGGATATACCTCTTAAATGCAACTTTTGGAACTGATCACATAAAATAAGAACAATTTACCCCATATACCCTTTCAGGGACAATATGGTTTACCCTGGAAACAGCAGCTGCATTCTGTTGCAGGGTAAAGAAGAAAGCCTTAAAATATTAGCTTCTGAATTGAATTTAGTGTCAGGAGAAAAAAAAAAAAAACTTACTGAATTTAGCAGTCAACCAAGACACTTTTCTTGAAAGCTATTTTTTCTCCTTCCCCAGACAGAGATAATAATAGTCTTGAATCACCCATTCATTTTTCCATTTTTCACACATTTAAACTTAAATCTCATAACTGTTTAGTTCTGACGCCAAGGGGAAATGACCACACAAGTCTGATTGATTGTCAAAGAAGAAACATCAATTACAGTGCCTTCTGGAACCAAAGTCTTTCCTTCAAAGGCTTTAAATGCATCCAATGACCTTTATTAAAAATAGAAAAAGTGTTTTTTTTTAAACACTCGTTTAAATTAATTAAACAATGTTTCTACTAATAAAGCAAGAAAAAATCCTATCAAGTTTTCTTGAATTTATCTTTCTTTATAAGGATAAAAGTTAGCTATTATTTTAGGACCCCAGGAGCAACAAAGAAAAAGATTAAAAAATAAAATCTTAGAAAAATATCTTATTATACAAGCACAACAATAAATAAGTTTCTTACCCTAATCAAAGTGGTCAATTATCTTGTAGCTCAAATAAATAATATATTTGGAAAAAAGTGCAGAATTTGGAGAGGATTAACTGTTTTGTCTATTCATGCATTATATTCACAAGGTGTTCCTTCTGACAGTAACCAAGAAAATACAAAGTCTGTATTCATGCACATGCACCAGCTGCAGGGCATCGCCAGCTGCTGTGTGGATTTCATCCCGCTGTTATCTGGAAAGGACTGACGTATCCCACTTGGTATGGACCATTTGCAAGGTCTGTAAATTGACTAAACTTCTACAAATTTCAATGAAGATTGCATTATTAATGATTTTCTTCCACCCTTAACATCTTATGTCCGATAAGCCACTGTTCTGCTGCTTACACAATACAAACACAGAATTTTACTGACTAGTTTCCATACTAGTCAGTATGTTTCCATACTAGTCAGAGTGAAAGCTGTACCATGTCTAGGGTATTATAGATACAACAAGAAATTCAAAGAATCTTACATTTTGCCCTGTTCCTAACAATACTTTTTGCAGTCTCTTTACAAAGCAATCTCAGCAGACAGTTTACATTACTCTCAATGCTACTGGCCCCATGGCTCTAATTCTTTATTAGCATCACTACACTCAAACATATTATTGACATTTAAAACTTATAGGAGAGGAAAAAGCCACGACCTCTTGCATCAGGAAGCTGTTCATCATTGGATTTTATCCAAAGGGAATGTTAATGATGATACAGAAATGTGGTTAACCATTTTTCATAAATATAAATGGCATCTCCCATTTAGGATATGTTTCCTGTTTACTGTGGGAAGTGCAGTCAGAGGTGACATATTAACCTTGGTTTGTTTGCATGAACTTTTAATCTTCAAATGTGGACAAGCTGACTCTGAAGTTATTCTACCTGACAGATGAGAAATTGCTCCATCTTGTCCGCTCATGACAGAAGATTTCAGCAGATTACATGGGGCATCAGATCAGGCCCCCGTGCATACATTGTACTGCGCAACCGTAATCTATATGGTGAGACTTCTCTTTTTGCAAGGCCCTGATGGGTAATTAAATTACAGGATTTATCAAAAGAAGAATCTAAGAATTGCCCTTGTGGCTCACAACTAAGGTCCATGCAGCCCTGTGTGTTGTCTCAGCAGAGGCAGTAAGAGAAACTATTGGGAATAGCACAAGAGCACTGTGGTCCCTCTGACTTCCCCAGCATCTAAAGCTCACAGCTAATAGGAATGCCAGAGGGCACATCTCTGTCTAGTCCCTTTAGCATCCTTATGGGCATAGGCAACAGCCTCTGCCTCCTTCATGGCAGTCTTCCTGAGGATGCCTAAGGTTTTGTTGGCTTTTTTGGCTGCTGCACTCCAACACGCTGATTTCAGGAAACTGTAAATGATAGATCAACGAATTGTTTCCTGAGTTTTATCTGCCAGTTCCGATATCAGCACCATGCAGGCATGTTCCCTCCACAATGCACTACTTACATTGGAATACATACCTGCACTACTTACATTGGAACTTATTTGCTGTCTTTTCCTCCACTCAAAGTTTTGCAGAGATCCTTGCTATTTGCTCTACGAGACAATGAACTCAACACACTATCATAACACAGACATGTTAACAAATATCCAGTAACTGAACAGTAAAAATGGGTAAAGAAAAATCCAAGGGGATATTCAGCTTAAGAATGAGAATCTTGTTCAGAGTGATGACAGGCATTTATTATTATTTATATCAGAGTGGTAAGAAATCCACTTAAAGAGAAAGTCATTGCTTTTCTGTACTAAGTGACTAGGGCTTGCAGCTGAAGGAATAAATTATATTTGTTATGTCTATAAAACTTTGAAAGCACAAAAACCAGTTATTTCTTTTCTCCTATGAAATTTCAGGAGTGACATGTTAGCATTAGCGTAGAGAGGGTAAGACGAGTCATCTATTACTATTATCAAACCTTTGATTTGACTAGAGCTGGGAAAATTACAATTCCCGTTTGAAAACTCATGGAATTCTGTTAAAATAGAATATTAGCACCCACCTCACAGCTGCGTATGCAGCGATTACCTACAGGCAGCTTTACAGCTGAATATATAAGGCTAAGTCCTGACTTCAGCCGCTTGTCTGTTGCCCCAGTAAAGTTAGCATGGGCAGTGGTTCACACACAGCACAAGACCTAACAGGGTCAAATGCAGAACCTGCCACATAGCTCCCCAGATACAAAGCACAAAGAACGTGACCCACAGTCATCAGAGTTGCCAACGTTAAACAGCACTGTCTCTGTGGCTTGTGTGCCTTTGGGAAAGTAGAGCCATGCTGCTTGAGAAAAGAGACAGCAGAGCTGCATATGGCTTCTTCCTCCCTACAGGAGGGTTCCTCACCTGCTCTTCTCTTGAGAAGGAAATAAGCCCATTCTCAAACCCACCCTGCTCAGGGCAGAGCCACAGGAGACCTCAACACTGAATATTTTCAAAAAGTTATAAAAACTTTGCTCCATTTTTGGAGATCTCTTGCTCTCTCTATGGCATTTTCCTTTGGCTATTCAGCTCTGATTAATAGGAAGTTACTCCAAGTCACTTGTAATAAAAAAAAAAAAATGGACAAGAATACCAACTCCTCCTTTGCCATCCTGGTAATGAATTAATTCTGCTCAACTTCAAAGCAATCAGCAATTTTATGGTTGTTAAATGAAGTTAAGTCCTTATTTACCAATGGAGCTGTTCACACAAATGAAGACAGATTACGCAATAAAAATGTCCTGAGTTACATCCCTAAATAATGTTCAATTACCATTAGGTTTTGCTGTTTGGGACCTATCTTGAGAATGCTGAATGGTGTTGTATTGCAGTATATTTAAAATCTCTGACTTTCTGAAATGTTATTGGTACAGAGTCTCCTGTATTTCAAAATTGAATTATTTCACAATTTATTAAATAAATCAGATTCTAGCACAGCATGCAGAATGGATTCCAGTCACTGGTATTTATGATGCTTTTCAAATGAAAACAAGCCATTGCCGATTATATTTATGACCTTTTTAATTTGTAATTTCGTTTATAAAAATAATAGCTGTTTATACAAACAGTAGCAAGCAGGTTGCATTGCAAGTGAATGTGTGTATACTTATGTGGAAGGTGAATATTACAAGGGGTTGATACATGTACCATACACCTAAACTTTTACATTATCAGCTTTTTTCCCCACAGATGGTCATAAGAGTCTCCATTAAATTATGATTTGGTCTGTTTGTATAGCATAAAGGCAGTTCATCATCCTTCTCAAATATATCGGGTTATTACTCATGTAAATCGTTCACTCTGAGTTACTCAGTTTCCCTGAGAACAAAAATATGATTAAACAGAAGCACCACACAGTGCTTTGGAGGTGAGAACAAATGCATTAAGTGTGAAATAAAGATAGCATAACATGGCTCTCACTTCCCAACAGCCGTTTGGCAGTGCAATGTGTGGATGTGACAATAATGACAGCATACTGTCCTCAGAGGCAATAAGGCTCGTATCTAGACAAGCATAGAAAATGCGTCAGAGTTCCAGGGAGCCCCAGGATAGACACCTTGCTGCACAAGATATATCACTTTGGGCTGCAGGAAAGCAGGGAGCAAGCATTACTACAAGCAGCAGTGATCTCCCTACTCAGGTGGGAAAGCTTTAACATTGTGCCACTACCAGAGCAGTATAGTTAGCAGATAGAGTAGATTTAATAATATATTCTTATTCTTTCTTGCTGTTGATAAGTACTAAAATATAGTATTAAGGTTCTATT